ACAGCAATCCGCACAACATGAACGCCAAATGCATGAAGCTACTAAAAGTATGCCTTTAGCACATCAACGCAAGCTCCACAACTCATTTTCTTCAATTTACCGTTTCTTGCCCGGAATTTGGTACACCCGAAGGCCACACAAATTAGGGGAGAGTCATTTCCAGATCCAGCCTAGTGTCGCGACAACTCAGCCCCCTTGATCTTATCATATCTCACCACCCACAGCGAAAGGGCCTCGGCGGATAGTAGTCTAACTGCCTATTTAGCGTTCAGGTTTTCCTTCTGAGTTTCCCTTGGGAGATGTTTTTAGGCTGGACATTTAGGCTGACAAAACAACTGCGCCCACCAATGTAGCACGGAGCGGTTTGGTGCCGGGTGATTCCAGGACCTTTCCTACCAGGCCTCTAGTTGCCAGCTGGCCGGCACCATTCTTGACGCCGAACAAGGAGTAACCTCGGGCAAGGCGATTCCTTGGGACACCACGGAGCAGATCTCAAATGGAGGCGTGCGCGTCGTTTTTTGGATGCCTTGTTTGGGCTTTGGAAAAGGAAGCCAAGCATCAACTTGAGGTTCCCTTCTTAATTCACCCCATGAGGGTGGGACCCGCCGCCGCCTAGCGCGATGTACGGCAGTCATATTTCATTGAAATGTAGTCTTATTGCTGTTTTGCGTACGGTCACTTGCTACCAATAATTCAGTTGTAAAAGAAAAATAAAAAATCTATGAAAATAAAATGAAAAGAAAGAAAAAGATAATAAAAGTAAGAAGACAGGAATAAGCGATTCAAGATTAGGTGGTTGGGTGTAAATAGATGGTGTAAGGGATGGATAGATTCCTAGTGGTAAACGGTTAATGATAGAAAAATGCTTTTATCTGTGCTCAAGGATTTTTAGTTGGTTAGCATGGTAAAGAGAGGGAGATGACGAAGGAATCCCATCTCCCATTCCCACTCCTCTCTTCGTTCAGGAGTGTCCATGAGAGATAGAATGAAAGAAGTGACAGAGATTTCCAAGATTCTAAAGTTTACAATAAATAGTGATAATGGGAAATGAATAGTAAGGAAAGGAATAGATCCCATTATCATCTATCATCTCTTTCCTTATCTCTCTATTTCCCGGTGATTCTCTTTCCATTGTCATCTAACCCTCATTCATATGACCGGGAAATAGGGGAAAGAGGAATCACATCAACAATAAAGAAAAGGAAAAGAAATGCAAATAATAAATCTATAGGTGATCAATAATAAAGAGACAGATGGCATCTTTTCCTAATTAAGAGATGAAGAGATACAATATGATGCCATCTTATCTCATTTACTTTCATCTCCAAACACATCCAAAATGTTAAAAGAAATCCAAATAAAAGACAATAAGATACAGATAAGAAGATAATCATAATTACATGTCGGGAAGCAAGTGCTGGCCGCGAGGCAAGGTGAACGGAAACCCGGTTGTTTCTCAGCAGTTTGCCTTTGCGGCTTCTGTTTCTGGGACCAGCAGAGGATCATCTGGGCACTTCCCCCACCAAACTGGGACCCTTCCCCCACCAAACTGGGACCGCAGGGGCTCAATCTGGGCACTTCCCCCACCAAACTGGGACCAGCAGGGGATCAATCTGGGCACTTCCCTCACCAAACTGGGACCAGCAGGGGATCAATCTGGGACCAGCAGGGGATCAATCTGGGCACTTCCCCCACCAAACTGGGACCAGCAGCCCCCACCAAACTGGGACCAGCGATCAATCTCGGCACAGTGAAGATTGCGAGGGGCCTTCGTCTCGAGTGGCCGGTAGCTTTCTGTGGGGGCAATTGGCCAGCATGCAGGCGACACCTTGATCGCTGTGAGCGACGCGGGCTCGTTCCTTTGCGCCATCCACACAGAATCGGACACGTGGGGCGACTTGCCTGACTTGGTGTTTGTTGGATTGTTGGATGGCTACCCCACTTGGTAAGTGGCACAGCTCACTTCCTCAGTTCCGGGACTTGATGTTTTGCCATTTTGTGGTAAACAAGAGTTTGGATGTTTTGGGGTTTGTCTGGCCAATCCACGAGGAAGTGAGTTGTGTCCTTGGTTGATGACTTCCTTAAGCGGACTTCACGTGAGTAGATCACCCGACGACCACTCAGCCAAAACAACAACCAGATACAGCCAAGCAAATCGGACAGGAATTTACAAGTTCGCAGGCCACTTTTTGGACCAGTGGCTGATGTACCGGTGTTTGGGAGTGAAACCTTGAGTCTCGCAAGTGAGGCTATGACTCATCTACCCAGCAAAGTGCGCTTCCCACTGGCCTGACTGCGGCCTCCTCTGACGCTGAGCTGTTCAGTCAAGTCTGTGCTTGGGTCGGGGCCTGCTACCCCCTACACCTCTGCAAAAAGGAAGTCAAACCCCCAAACCACCATCCACCAAACAACGCCACGCTTCGAGGACGCCATCGCGAGCAGCGGGAAGCGGAGCATGTGCTACACGGGCACTTCCTCCGGCACGGGCGCGGACCTGAAGGCAGCAGCGATTCGACCGGATCTGACATGGTGGTTCCCTCGTTTGGTCCAAGTTTAGCAGTAGTAGAAGTAGCAGTCGTAGTTGCAGTAGCCGCAGTTTTCGTAGTAGTAGCAGTAGAAGTAGTTGTAGCAGGAGTAGTAGGAGCAGCAGTATTTGTAGTAGTGGTAGTAGCAGCAGTGGAAGGAGTAGTTGTAGCAGGAGTAATTGTAGCTACTAGCAGTGGTAGTAGTAGCAGCAGTAGAAGTAGTTGAATCAGAAGTAGTTGTAGTAGTTGTGGCAATAAGTAGTAGTAGCAGCAGCAGCAGCAGCAGCAGCAGCAGTAGTAGTAGTAGTAGTAATGCTAAGAATCTCCGAGCCGCAGGCTAAAACATCCTAAAAACAGGTTCTGAGGGTCACCCTGCTACTTCCCCTTGTTCAAGGTCTTAAACCTTTTGGGGGATTGTGTTTTGTGTGCAGCCGACATGTACATGCGAATGCATCAGGCTCAAGACCTTGATAATAGGATCGAGGCAAACATCCAAACACAGCTGTGAAGCAACGTATTCCGCGGTCGCATCGAGTCGTGAGACGACGCAGATCATTTACCTTACAACCCCCTTTTACCACGACCACTACTATACGACTTGCTGTCGAAGGTATTGGTCACCCCACAACAGTCGAACCTCAACTGCCCTGTCATTTGACTACGTGGTTGATCCGCCTCCTTGCAGGTTATCAGCCGTAAGTTCAAAATTGGTCCCTGCGGTGGATTGCAACTGCGGTACAATACAACCTTTTGAAATATATTTACAGCCGTACAATGGATTCTTCCGGAAGCCCGGGAACTGCGACTGATGGAAATGATAGTTCCAGCGGTTCCACAGGTATGCTTGCAGTGCCGGCGATTGCAGACTCTCCGGACACCCAACAAAGTGCAAGTTCTGGTATTAGCCATGACCTATCACATTCATCCTGGAAAGAAGTCGGTCATGCCGTGTAATCCAAGGACGGAGAACAGAAGAGATCGTCAACAGCTTCATTATCAACACCGAGAAGGAGCGTGAAGGGCGTTATGAGTCCTGTGAGAAAGGAAAACGGGCGATCCAAATCGCCTACAGGCTCTAGTCCGTCTAAGATCACCCAGGAGAACAAGACCCTCAAACAGGAAGTGGAGGAGGCTAAGCGCAATTTGGCTATGCTGCAGGAATCGTATGAACGCGACGACCAGGGCAATGTCACGCGCATCCAGGAACTGGAACGGAGAGCAGGTATGTCGGAACAACAAGTAGCCCACATCCTCAAGAGATCCGACGAATAACTTCGAGAAACTGCTCAATACATTGACATCCAACGTGGGAAGACAAAGCTATCCAAAGATCAGGCACAACACCTCGTGAAGATCTAGGGAGAGTACCAAGACGAAGCCCGCCTTAAGGTCCTCGAGTACGAGGAGCGACATCAGCAAATGGCCGCGACCGTGAATCTGCTTGAACATCGAATCAGATGCGAGGAGGAAAGCTCATTGGTCAGCAGGAATAAGGCTGAACAAGAAAGGAGGAGCGCTTCTTCCGAGATCGCGCAGTATCAATCGATGATCAACTCCTACCAGGTGAAGATCACTACGGACTCGCAGAACGAGGAGAACACCATTCGTGGTTTGCGTGAGAGATTGGAGACAGCATTGCTGCCGCAACCGAATATGGCGATCGATGACGAGCCACAGAATGTATTGGTGAACAAAGCAAACAATGCTATCAGGTACGCTGAACAAGAAGCCCATTGCGCACGGGTTGCCGTGAGCGAGCGGGATGAGATGTACTTGATTGGACAACGTGCAGTACAGGAACGTGACGCAAAGATGAATGAGGAGATCAAGATCGCTAGAGATCGAGCTCATCAAGGAAGTGCATTGCATGATCGTGCCACGCTGAGGGATCAGGAGTTTGTCGACCTGACTCGCGAACTCGCTGCATCAAGACAAAGGCTATTGGTGCGAAATCCGATTGCCTCAGCCAGATCGCTGCAATGTCCGAAGAAATCGAAGAGACGCGACGAGAACTCAAAATTCAAGAGAGCTTTGTGTACCAATTGGCAGAGACGAACAAAGAACTCGAGCGAGAATGCCACCCAAGTCGCCGTCGCGGTGGATGCAAAGGATCGTGGACGAGCTCTACTGAGGGATGACTCCGTTAGGACCAGTAAACGCCACAATTCGAAGACCTGTAAGAGTGATACCACAAATGGGCCTCAACAACAAGGTCAGGTAATGCTCTATCAGGCTACAATGGCGGCATCTAGTTCTAGTGTACAGGCACCCAATGTTCTTAAGCCAATTGATTACAGCCACGGACCGGGTTCTGTTTTGTTTCCTGTTTACCAAAACCCAATGATACAGGCTCATCTCGACCAACTGCATGAGGCGGTAGGATCTATTCCAAATATGAGGTTTGGTTCAACCAGGAGGTGGTGGTGGTCATGGAGATGGCGGTCCACCTGGTCTCGGTTATCACAACACAGATGGAAGCGCGGGGGGTCTAGGATGTGCTCCTGTCCCAGCCGCAACAGGAGGGCCAAGTCCACCTGATCCACCTGACGACGATGACGATGGAGACGAGGACGACGAAGAAGAACCATCCGATGATGATGACGATGATCGCTGTCGCAACAGAAGATCATCACAAAGAAGAAGGCCGAGAGATCGCAGAGATCGTGAAAGTGGTCGATCAAGGATATCACGAAAGGAGGCTGAAAGGGTCAACGTACCTCCATGGCCGAAGATCACGAAGCTGGACAGCTGGAAGATGGCACTCACCATGAACGTCACCAGCGCTTCAGCAGACCCTGATATCGAAGTATGGATGTCATGGGTGGGGTGTGCATTCGTGGTGAATCCTGACCTTGGAATTTCTAGCCGATTCGGGAGGCGAACGATTTGCGATGATGGATATCAAGCTGGCACTTTTGCTCCAGACGATGCTCAGAAGTTTACCTGATGATGCGAAGGACGTGGCACATGATATTCAACTGCAATCCGAACGACGCCAAAGAGAAAATAGACTGATCAAGGGAAGGGAGATCATTGCCATCATATTGCCATCTTTCAGATCAAGTGATCGATCAGATATGACGTTCACCATTGAACATCTGATCAGACTGGAATACCCAGGGGACAAGAACATGTCCGTATTCCGCAACAAATGGTATGACATCTTGCTCAACCTGAGGAAGGAGGATACACCCAGAGAAATCACGCTCCGGGACATCCTATATCACAAGGTCAAAGGAAGCAGAAAGGTCTCAATACCTATGCGCGGTTGCCGGATGCACGCCCTGAGAAGTCCTACCGTTTCCTTTTGGGATTGATTGATCGACAACTTCGGACTGATCGTGAGGACTACGTCCACGACATGAAGGAGAAGTCAGTCAAGAACCTGCTGAGCGGCAACAAGAATGCTGCACCAGCGGAAAAGAAGAAAGCAAAGGGAAAAGGAGGAAATTCCGGGAAGGAAGACGATGGAACCACAGCAGCACCTGTGCTACCCAACGCGAAAGCGAAAGACCACGACAAGAAGGGCAAAGGAAAAGGCGAAGGGAAAAGCATGAGCCCAGAACAGAAGAAGCAATGGCCGTGCGTCTTCCACTACACGAAAGAAGGAGGATGTCTCAAAGGGAAAGATTGTCCATATTCCCACAACCCCAAGCACAAGCACAAGTTGGACAATAATAAAGGAAAGGGCGAAGGCGATGGCAAAGCAGCGAGGACTCCTTCGCCGAAGAGGGATGGGGCCTGCTACGCATGGAGAGAAGGAAAGTGCACGAAAGGGGATCACTGCAAATACAAGCACGCTAAACCTGCGAACCCCAAGGCATCCGCTCCTGCGCCTAACGCCAAGCAACAGGCCAAAGCACAGGCCAAGCCCAAAGCAGCAGCTCCGGCAATTGTGAGAAAGGTTCACCTCGCAATGCCCGCTATCACTGTCAAGAGAGCCGCGACTTCGGAAGCCAAGAAGGATGACAAGGGCGCAGAAGAGAGTGAGGCCGAGGTCGAGACTGTGTATCACGATCGTGACGCAGAAGACGCCATGAGTGAATCTTCGCGGTGGTCAGGTGAAACTGACATACCCGAGAAGTACGTGTGCTTTCAAGAGATTCTTGACAATGACGTGGGCGAAGAGGTGGAGTACCTGAAGAATGAGGACGAACAATGGCGGACTAACACGATGTGGTACAAGGGATTCTTTGACGATGTGCCCCAATCATCATCGAAGCCAGTCAGTGCCAAGACGTTCAAGACGTATGATCATCGAAGACACCTGGCATATAGTCACAAGAAGGCAATCATCAGAGCTGAGATTATGAGTGAGGTGGTCAATGACATATATCGAACTCACAAAATGCCAATGAACAAGGAGCGAACCTTCACTTTCGAGTATGACAAGGAGGATGACGAGATTGCGGAGGGAGTCGTGCAATGGAAAAGGAAGCACGGACAACCTATCAGTCTATTCGCCCTGTCTGCGAACCAATGCAAGGGAGTAAAATGGCTGATGGACACCGGGTGTAGTCATGATTTTGATCGGCAAATCCAAGGCGGCCTCCCTCGGTGTGGACATCGTTCAAGACAAGGACGAGATTGTCTTCCAAACGCCAAATGGTACTACATCCACTTCGGATTCAATCAAGTACTACGTGAATGAGCTGAAGGAAACAGTCCAACCCTTTGTTCTGGATGAGACGCCGACGGTGTTATCTATTGGTCGACGATGCATGAAGATGGGATATTCTTTTCATGGGAAGCTGCCGTTCATGATAACGCCTGAGAAAGAGATTGTTCATCTACACGTCAAAGATGATATTCCCTATTTGGTTGGAGATCGAAATGCGAGGAGTAATCGCCATCGACCTGTTTCTGAGGACATCTTGGAGCAGATGAAGACGCTCAAAGAAATCATCGGTGTTGAACAGGATGGTGGCGAAGCAGAAGAAAAAGAAGAAGAAGTCGGAGATCCCTACGCTCTTGC